AGTGACTTAAGTGGTAATAATGGAATATTTGAGGTATTGTGCTGGAAATTTAATTAAGTTGTTTGAGACTTGAATTGAAGTAAAAAAGTAAAGGACTATTTAGAATAAAATGTAAAAGTTGAGATGAATTCTAAAAGAATCCATAATTAGTATTTAAAATGGAAAGTTGAAAAAGGTTATGTGAAGTTTGGGTGAATTTGGATAAAAAGAGACTTGAATGGTCAACTTGAAGTGTTAAAGATTTTTAGGAATTTATTTTCTATTGTGTACCTATGTTAGTGAGATTCTAACATGTGGTTTGAAATGTACATGTTTTGTAAATGATTTTATTTAGATTGTGTGCTTGAAATCAATATCAAGCAATGTTAAAGCTAAGGAGAGCTTAAGGAAGAAATATGAATTTCTAAGGAAAGTTGCAAGCTAAGGACTCTATGTGAGTGCATATTTAATTTGTATTTATGATATCGTGCAAATATTGACTTGCGATGAGTCAGTGACGGAGTTGTTATGGTATGAAGTGACTCTTAAATGTTATGAAATTTTGTGATTCATGTGTATATGTTCATTTGGTATGCTACTAGAATTAGTGAATAAGCTAAAAATATAAGTTAGTGAAATCTGCCTAGATTTGTGTTTTGAACAGTAAGTTTAGAAAATCACCATAAATTCCATAGAAATAATTAGGAAATGATTTTATGTCGTTGGATTTTTATATTAGTATAGTTTTGTTGAGAACAAACTTATACTGATTTCAAGAAGAATACAAAAAGATATGAATTTTTAATCGAGGATAGGTCAGAAAACAGGGCAGCAAATTATGCTCAAAACAGCTTCTGTAAGTCAAATTTGAAAATTCATTATAAATTGTACAAGATGAACTAGAAGAAGTACCTTATATGGTCAGATTTGTATTCGATTTTAGTTTCGATTGGTATGAACAGAATAATTTTTAAGTGTGTAGATTAATATAGAATAATATTTTGTTAAAGGTAGTGCGAACTGCCAACATAAGAAACTTGTCATAAATTATGTTTTCATGTTACTTTATGTTATATGATATTATAAATGTTGAAATGAGTCAAATTTATTACATTTGGAATGATAGTTAAGATTATTTATTTCATGACAAATATGATGTGTTTATGTTCAAGAAAGTTAATTGAGGATGATTATGATATATAAATGTAATGCGGAAATGAAATGTTTAGGGTATGAACTACCCATTATGTTATGATCTGAAAAGTCATTTATGTCAATATATTGATATCTTTGATATTCAATAACGTATAATAATTAATGGAAAACCTCATTGTATGTTTCATTGAGAGTTGTAGGTACACTTGGCATGCTAGGAAGCTGAGTAAAATTCAAGTTAAGTTAAGTTATGGTACATTCGTGTACATTATGTATGACATCGTTGGTGCATATGATATGTTTTGCACTTGGAGTGAATCTTATGATGATGATTGGCACCGTGAAGTGCCTAGTGTGCACATTATGTATGATTCATGTACCTTGCATTCTCATAAATATGCATTGGGCTATGAACTTGAAAATAAGCTATGAATCTAAAATTAAGTTATGAATTTGAAATAAGTTTTGAGTCTGGAAACAAGTTCTGAATCTGAAAATGAATTCTAAAATGTGAAAGTACATATTATGAAAATGAAATATGAAAGTGAAAGATGAAAATGAGATAATAAAGTTTTGTATTGTATATGAATGAAAAAGAATATGATATTGTTTATCATGGTTTTGATAAAATTATGAGATGATGATTTTCAGGTCCTTGATGAGGAAAAATGGCTTGACTAAATCGGTTTGGATATTTAGTGATTTTATTGGAATTTAAGTTAATGTTTTAAATTGTTATGATATTATTAAGTTTTATATAAGTAAATAGGTTGTTTAGATGTTGCTAAATTGTTTGTTATTTATATCAATTTAGTTTATTTATAATGTCTCACATAAGTGTATACTTAGTGTGTGATGATTTTCACGCGTAGGTAAAGAAGAGAAAGTGAAGTAAGGAGCTGGGTGGGCATCAATCAATAAAGAAAAAGGTTCAGGTATTAATAATGACATCCTACTATTTTAATTTTTTTAGATGACATGTATACGAATAAAAAAATCTAAGTTATGTTATTATGGATATAAATATCAATTTAAGTTTTGTGTTTTAAATAAAAATTATATTTTGATAGAATAAAGAAATATTTTAAATTAAAAAGTAATTAGGTAATTTATCATATGATATGGAACATTATAGAACTATCTAGTTGTTGTCTGAAACTAATATTGATTTAGAGGCTTAAATACTATAATATGATTTCACGTGATTACATTATTTATTGAAATGATTAAATTGGATAAATTTTAAAAGTTCAAAATTTACTGGATTTTCAACCTTAGAATGTAAGTAAAGCTATGTGACATCTTTGACTCGTATTTGGGTACGTATACGGGTTAAGGGTGTTACAACATCGTCGATTCAAAGCTTTCCAGAATTGACCGCTTTCAGAGTACGTATCGAGTATTTAGTGGGCATGTATTGTCATCGACCCTTTATTGTATTTGAGTTGTAAACTCTGTATTTTATTTTATTGATATATCTTGGAGACATTTTTCGGGAGCTCCCGCGTATTTTAAATACGTATATTTTGGTATCGTGTGGTATTTGGATATTATTGCTACTCTTTTGGTGGAATATTTTTAAAAAAATGGCTAGCTACTTATGTGGTTCTGTGTGACATCCTAGTTCATCGACTTCTGGGCTAGATCGGAATAAGGTGTTACAGTTAGAAGATATCTTGGGCTCTTCAAGAGCCATTAAGCACACTACCTTTGGTGGTTCTTCTTTCTTGTCACCATATAGTTCTTCGAGCTTATCCCAAAGCTCATTGGCATTTGAACATGAAGAAACTCCTTCAAAAACATCGGGGCCAAATGCACAAAATAAAAGGTGCATGGTCATGGCGTTTTGTTGAGCTTTCTTCCGTTCTTGATCACTCCACTCCTTGTTCTTCATTGGAGAAGAATAGTTATTCATGATCATCTCCCATGCTTCAAGATCAATGGATTGAATAATTATCTTCATTAGTTTCTTCCAATGATCATAGTTAGCTCCATTGAAGTATGGAGGCTTGTCGATCGGTAGGGAGTCCTCTATGTAGAATAAGTTGGATGTGGAAGTCATCTTCTCGGTTGTTTTAAAAATTGATAAAGAGCTTCAAGGATCTTCACAAGGTTGTTAAACTGTCGATTTGTGGCCTCGCTCTAATACCAATTGTTAAGACTAATGAAGCTCAATTGATCAATCGAAAATGTACCAAGAGATGGTGAATTGGCTAAATAAAAATTTTGGGAGTATGGAAAGAAATGATATAGAAACATTTGCACAATGATATATAGTGGTTCCGCTTCTCAACTAAGTCTACATCCACTACCTTAACTCCACACTAAGGATTTTCTAACAAATTACTAATTTATTCTTTCTTTTTCTAGGCTCAAGCGTAACCTTTTACAACTCCCTAGTTTTTCAATGACTAAACTAGAACCAAACCCCTTTTACAAAAGGATAAAGAAAATGTAAACAAAAAGCCCATCAAAGGAAGGTGTTTACATAATTAAGCTCACTAAAAGTACTTATGTACAAAAGAAAAGGAAAAATAAGAATGAGAGAGCTTTTCTCTTTATATGGATTGCTTGGATAGGTGTTGTAACATTCTTCAAGTGTTTTCAACTTCTTTTTACATGTTGGAATGTGTTTTTGACCGTTTCTAGCCATTGGGGATTTAATTGCTACAAAAAAACTGCCCAGAGAGTTTCGATACTCAAGCTGGGAGTATCGATACTGCTCTAAAAAAACTAACTGCTTTTTTATCATTGGGCTTGGAGTATCGATACTAGGGTTTACAATATCAATACTTGTATAGTATCGGTAACAATTTTGCACACTGGAATCTGAACACATTTAAAACCAATGGACAGTATCGATACTGCCATGGGAGTATCGATACTTCCCTTACCTTGGGTATGGATATTGTTCATGTGGTATCGATATGTAAGAACAGTATCGGTACTACAAAATCTGAAAAAACATTTTGTGTTCAAATTCAAGCTTTATGGACTTTGAATTATTTTTAAAAACTTTGAATAAATTCTATTTAGTCCAAAAAAATATTTTATCGTTAAATTTGTTATATCAAACTAGGTTAAACAGACAACAATACATCTAAGGGGTCAGTATATAAATCCCTATGTCAGATAAGAAAAAACAAATTCTCTTATTCCTATCTTTTTATTTCACATTCTCTCCCTCTAAAACGTTTATATATTTACAAACAATACATCTCTATATTTACCACCAATATTATTAATTATGATTTTTTATCTGAATCATATAAGATGAATTGTTTAACACCACCGTGTATCCTTGTTCCCGGCAACAACGTTCAAATATATTTATCATTTTTTACTGTCAACTGGCGTTACGCAGATCCTATTACAGTGGATAGAAATGAAAGAAAAGAAGTGCATTGTTACTAAGGGTGGACCTAGATATTTAAGAATAGGATCCAAAATTTTAATTTTTTTTAAATAATGGGTATGCAAAATTTTTTATTTTTTTCTTAACACATTAAACTAAATTTAACCATTTTTTCAAAATAATGAGATTCATTTAACCTATATGGAAGCTTAGTGCATCCGTAGATGCACCTGACTGTTACAATGACTGGGCTGGCTGCATAAGCCTAATAAGCTTGTCTGCACTTGTAGCCCATGTCTTGATTTGTTAGCTTCCCTTGCCAATGGTTAAAATCGCAAAACATGGGCCATAACCATCACGGTTCGGTCGCAACAACCTTATTATTGCCAGTGGTAGTGTAGGCACCACAAAAAAACAAAGCATTTCTAAAGAAATTGTGCTTTAGATGGATAGACTCAGCATCTTCCTTATCATCAAATATATATCTGCAAGGATATCATCTCATGTAATTCAAATACAGTATTATATGCAGTACAATTCACCTCTCCTCAGGCAGCGAACCAGAACAAACAGAGAAATGTTACAGAACCTTAAATTCTTACAATCCTCCCTGCACTTACTCCAACCTCAAACTCCACCCTCTGCTTGTTTTCCCATCTTGAAACATTTCAAATTTTCCCGGAGAGACCTTACAATTTGCACCAACTCCTCACTGCTTCTTCTCTTGGGTACACAGGCACTTGAACCACTCTATCCCCCCTCTGAGGCAAAGGCTGAAGAAAATTCACCAAGCTCCAATCAACAGGAAGAGAATGCTGCCACTACTACTCCCGATCTTAATTGCAACAACAAAGTAGCTACCAAACGAGCTTTTCTCGACATAGCCATCGATGGAGAGCCTGTCGGTCGCATTGTGATCGGAATATACGGAGACGATGTTCCAGCCGCCGCTGATTGGTTTAGTAGCATAGTAAGTGGAGCTGCCGGAGTTAGCTACAGACGGAAAGAGTTCATCAAGATCATGCCAAACTACGTGCAACATGGTGGACTGAGGTCTTATGGTGTTGATGCGGAGCTTGCCAAGAAAACTGGAAGTAATTTGGCAGTCGAAACGCTGAAGGGGGAGTGGGAGAGAGTGTATGAAAAGTGTCCGGGAGTTAAGAACTTGGCTGGTACTGTGGGGATACTGGTGAGGGATCCCTCTAAACCACCGCCCAAACAGAAGTTGGTTGCACGCAATGGGAAGCTGGAGATCGATCAGGAGGAAGTCGGAACCGAACCGAATGGTACCGAGTTTGTGATTTCCATCAAGGATTCTCCGGAACTTGATGCATCAGCTCTTGTTATTGGACGGGTATTGGACGGGATGGAGGTTGTAAAGAGAATTGGACAAGTCAAAACTGTTCAAGAGAACACCGGGTCTCCTTATTTCAGGTATGCCTTTCAACCCATGGCAATTAGAAATCAAACAAAACAATTGAATGTGTTCTACCCCAGGAGGTTTGGTTCCTTCCTATAGGATTCATCTTTTCCTTGGGACCGGATTTATAAAATGAATAATGATAGCATTAGTCTTCAACATCTGTTTAAATAATTACTTTGATCTTTATTCTTTTTTTTTTAGCATTTTAGCCTCCAACGATTCAATTTTTGGTCAATTAGCTCTTGTTGAATGAAACCATTAGTTCACGGGCAGTTAAACGCATATTTGTGATGTGCCATTTCTGTATGTGCTTAAATAGTGACATGATGCATATCACGTCATCATTTTCGTGATGCGATGCATGTCGTATCATGTAAGATATTAGCAATTAAGCACATGTGAAAATGTCGCGTTAACATTTGTTGACCGTTAGTATGATTTTCATCCAATAAGGACTATTTTGATCAAGAATTAAAACATTGAGGTTAAAATACTCCCAAAAAAAGAAAAGAGGTCAAAGCGACCATTTATACAAACGTTGGAGTATAATTGTTTTAATTATAACATAGATAAAGGGAAAACGAAGAAATTATGATTTGTATTTCCACACATCTTGGAAGAGTTGAGAATAAATAGACAATTCCAAGTTGTAAAATGTGAAAAGATAAGAGTTAATGAGAAATGTGTGCTTGTGTGAGCAGGGTGGCTAAGCTAATAGGCGATAAAAGAGCTGTGGTGGCAGAAAGAGGCTTCAATCGGCCCTACGCAAAGGTGGTAATCACCAATTGTGGGTTGATGTACTGAACCAATTCCCCCTTTTTGCATGCTTTATTATATTGTTTAAACCAGTCTTATGGATATGAGATTAATGCAATTCTACTTCTCATAAACCTTAGTGGAATAGCAATTGCCCAAGTTTTGATGAACTCTTAAGCTCTACCGCGGTACTTGGAAACAAAAATCTAGCACCAGCACTACCAAGAGAAAACGGGTTGTTATCTTTAATTTTTTTTTAATGGGAAAACATTTTATAGAAGCCCGTACAATATTTAAAGATTCATACATCATACCTCAATGGTTAATTGAATCGTTATTGTCTTTAAAGATTATGGGTTTGAGCACCAGCACTATAAGGGTGTTTCGACGTTTATTGTCAAATAGTTGAAAGTATTTAGAACTTATATTATCTTTGTAATCATCTTAACCTAATAAAAAATAATTTAGAGTTAATTCACCGATCGTGCTTAAACTATAACTTCAATTTTAAATTAATTAGCAAACTTTAAAATTGTTTAATTTATCCTTAATATATTATACCTATCTAGCCATAAGAAACTCATCTCTCACTAAAGGGAATGTTGGAATTAGAAACTTTGAAGCAAGATTTTCTTCCACTCCTTTTATTTTATTTTCGTCTCAGATTGTGTAACAGGAATCTCCGAAGAAGTCCATTTTCTTTGAAGCCAACTAGAAATCTCTACGCTAAAATCCATTAACTAATGCCCTCGTCCCAAATTACAAGGGATGAATGTCGATCAATCTCGTTCATTCACAACCTATGCAAACCATCATGAACTATCAATCCTTATTTTGTACATCAATATTTGGTATGGTAAGCATACACCTTTTTCCTCACCTTAAGAATCAACCATAGTACTTAAACTCAAACATGAAATCACGTGTTTGATTCTAAAAAGAGAATCGAAGTTAACTTGTAAGAAGAAGACATGACACTTGATGAGCTAGGGAAGGTGAGAGACTAGGGGAGTACAGCTACACAAGGAGAAGAAGATGTGTAAAATGAGAAACAACGACATGCAAGTAAGACAACAAGTTAAAGATAAGTCAAAGACATCGACATGCATTGGGTCGTATCGAATTTTTCGAAAAGTATGACCGTTTGCCTACAAGCTTGAGTTGTCTCTAGAGCTTGAACACGTTCGTGATGTCTTTCATGTGTCCATGTTTAGACAATATTGTTATGACCCTAGTTATATTTTATTCAGACTAAGGATATTCAGTTCAGGCCTAATTTATCATACGAATAGTATCCTGTTCAGATTCTAAATTTTGATGAGAGAGTTTTGTGAAGTAAATGTATTTCGATGCTTAAGGTTCAATGGGGGTAATCAAAGCCATATTGAAGCTACTTGGGAGACCAATGAGTCGATGAAGATTTCATCTCCACATCTATTCGATTCAGTTAAATTTTAAGGATAAAATTTCTTTTAGAATGGGGAGAGAGTTGTTATACCCCAATTTAGGGGCCAAAATTTTATTTTGTGAAATCGATAATCAATTTGTATCTTTTAAAACAATTCTTTTAAAGGTGGGAGAGAGTTGTTATACCCTAATTTAGATGTCAAAAATTTATTTTGTGAAATTGGTGACCAAATTATATCTTTTTAAAAATTTTAATCAATAATGTGAAGTTAGGGAAGCTTAAGGATTGCTTATCTAATTTCCTCATTTTTAAGTTGTATTGCAAAAGGAAATTGGAAAATAAGATATGTTTGTGTTTAGAAAATATAGGTTTCTTATTTTCTTAGAAAATAGAAATCTTTGAAGAAAACGTGTTTGGTTCTAAAATTAGAAAATGATTTTTAGTGAAAATATAATACCCCAAATAACATATCAGTGACTTCATTGAAAAGATTTAAAATTTGAGGATTAAATTGAATAATGATAAAAGATAGGAATGATTGGAATAGTGTTTAAGACCAATTTGTATAAATGAATGAATATAGAGGGTATTTTGGTCCTTTAAGGATAAATAAATTTAAAATTTATCCCTTATTAGGGATTTAAGGAAACAAAAGGGGAAAGAAAAACTAACATATTCATCTCTCTTTTCTTCTTCTTTCCCGTGCATATCTCTCCTCCATAGCTCAAAGGTGAGTTCAATTTACTAGTTTATTTCTTCATTTTTGGTTGGGTTTTGAAGCATTGAGTATACTAGAAGTTTAAGGAAGGATTAAAGGGGATCAAAACTGAGTTATGGATGAAATAATAGAGATTAAAGGAAATGAGTTTTTGAGTGATATGTTAAAATGAGAGTGTTTATGGATGTTTACTGGTAGATTTGACTTGTCAAAGAGGTAAATGAGAGATTAGAAGCAATGTATAGGATTAAAAATGCATTAGGAAAAGTGGTGTGATTCTTAGAATTTATTGTTCTTGGAATATTTTAGATGTTTTAATAGGCTAAATGAAGGAATGTTAGTATGGATAGTTAAAGAATAGTTTAATAGCATTGTATGGTGTTTATATAACGAAATTTAACCCTATTTGAGTGATAATCGGGTTGAAAACTGGAAATTCTAGGTACGGGTATCGGTACTGATAGAAAAATACTAATACTACAAGCTAAAATATGATGAATATGCTAAGTAGTATTGATATTGATTCAATCAGTATCGATACCGAAAGGGGAGTATCAATACCAAAGGGAAGGTATCGATACCATTTCGAAACAGAATGCAAAAATGGTATCGATACCATATCATAGTATCGGTACCATAGTATGGTAGTATCGATACCATGGTATGGGTATCGATACTAAGGGGCCAGAAATTGTTAGATAGGTTGATAATGATGTAGAAAAGTTAATAATAAGTTTTTTGTTTGAGTAATGTTTAAGAGTAATTGTTAGAAATACACTAATAATTGATATTGTACATGTATTTAATGGATGCTTGAGTAGATCGAAATCAATCTCCCGAGTCAAGCAAAACAAAAGGCAAAGTCAAAGTGCCTGAGTAATCAACTTTGCATCATGGATATAATAGAGAGGTAATCCAGGTGAGTACAATTAATTGTGTAATTATATGTTGTACTAATCATATATGTATGATTGTTTAATATGTATGTGGTGATTACCAAATAGGCACTATATGTGCAAATCCACGGAATTCATCATGAGTTAATGAATAACTGTACAGGCATGATGTGTGCAACCTATGGAATTCATCATGAGTTGATGAATAACAGTACAGACACTATGTGTGCAAATCCACGAAATTCATCATGAGTTGATGAATAACCTACAGGCACTATGTGTGCAGATCCACGGAATTCATCATGAGTTGATGAATAATCGTACAAGCACTCTGTGTGCAAATCCGCATAATTCATTATGAGTTGATGAATAACCGTACAGACACTATGTGTGCAAATCCACGAAATTCATCGTGAGTTGATGAATAACCATACATGCACTATGTGTGCAAATCCATGGAATTTATCATGAGTTGATGAATAACCGTACAGACACTATATGTGCAAATTCACGGAATTCATCATGAGTTGTTGAATAACCGTACAGGTACTATGTGTGAAAATCCACTGAATTCATCATGAGTTGATGAATAACCGTATAGGAACGATGTGTGCAACCCACAGAATTCATCATGCGTTGATGAACTACCGTATAGGTACTACGAGTGCATCTTAATAAATGGACATGAATAGGAAATTGGTAAATTACCATGTTAGCACTAAGATTGCAAATGTATACGGTTTATAGTAAATTATAAAGAGTTGATTATAAATAATTATTAGAGTAGAAACTAGTCCAAAATAAAAAGATTAATGGCCTAGCTGTGCATTTGACAGAAATGTGTCAATCATGCCAGTTAGACGAAAGATTAATGCCTTTGAGTAAAAGATTAGATGTATAGCAATGCATGATGATGTATAAAAGGCATGAAAGGATGCCATAAATGAAATGTATTATGGTCTATAAAAGGCATGAAATGATGTATAAACGAAATTAATAAATAATTACTAAAGAATAATAGGAAAAATATATAGAAAGAATATTATGTTGGATATACTAAGAATGGTTACGATGATGGTATGAAAGGAATTTGTTTTAAATAAAAGGGACTTATCTAATCCTTATAGATGATACAGGGTAGTTCAAAAATAAATAAGCATGATATACCTATATATATAGAAATGTTTCTTTACAATTTTATGTCTCACTAAATAAGTATTTAAAGCGTGTTGATTCCATGCGTAGGTCAAAGCAGAGATTAGTCGAGTAGGGAGTGCAGCAGTAGCATCAGATATCATCAATTAAGGTTGACCCTTATCAGTAACGGTAGAACAATCATGTTTATTTTGAAAAATTGCTGGCATGTAATCAAATTTAAAGAAAAATGCTCTTGAATATATATAAAGTGGAATTTTGGTAGTATATTTCGATGACTGTTTTATGATTGCATTTAAATGTTTTAATTGAAATTTTTTGAAACAAACTTTTAAGGGTTTTCAAAAGAAAAAGTGTTTTAAAAGTGATGTAACATCTATATCTCGTATACGGTAAGGTATACGGGAGATGGGTGTTACATTTATTGGTATCAATGCTACAGGTTTAGCCGATTCTTGGTCGAAATCGAGTTTAATTTAATTTGGAAAAAGGATTACATGTCATTAAGATTGTCAAAGTTACTGATAGGGTGTCAATTAGAGTATGATTGAGATCACTCCTTATTAAATTGAATGTTATTCTTATGTATGTCCTAATAGATGTCGGAAACTAAGGACAAAGGTAAGAAAGTAGATGATATTAAAAAGAAGGTCGAGATCAAAATCAACCCAAGAGAATCCGACATGATTTCAGTATCATGTTGTACAAGGGTAAAAGCTGTTAGGAATTTTCCTCCATTCTTTGGAAGGAATGCCCTAGCGTTTAACGATGTTTCTACATAGGATGAATCTATTAAAAAGTTTAAACGATTTATGAAAGAAGTTACATTGGATGAGGATCCAGAGGATATTTCCAAATCTAGTGATGATTCCGAGATTTCTTCATAATTGAGAAAGATTTAAGTGAAGTATTAAAT